AAGCAAGCAAGCAAGCAAGCAAGCAAGACTGGAGAGCGTGGCCTGGAGACCAGCATGGAAGGAAAATGCCTGTATGGGAACACGGTGAATAAATGTGCAGTCGTGTAGGACTGTGCCTTTGCTGGTGGGAGGTGGTCCAAGGGTACTTGATACTCTTGGGATCTGTGCACTGTAGCTGTATCTGAAGCGCACAGAGTGGTGATAGGACTTCCCACCTGCAGCAATCACAGGTTTGGGTCATTGAAATGTCTCCACAGGTTTTACTTAGGTGAGGTTGTCATACAAGTAAACAGTATGGCAGAAGAAAGCACAATCGGGCAGACAGGGAGAGCTGAGGCTTCACAGCACAGCCAGCTGGGCCCTTTGTCAGTCACGCAGAACAGTTTGGAGTATAAACTACCAACATACCTGCAAAGTACTGTGGACTCAAGGGATCCAAGCACAAATTTAATGAAGGGTGGTGTTTTTAACTTGTCAATGGACCTTTATTTATATGTGGTGCTGAGAAGTGAACAGAGTGCCTCGCACGTGCTAGGCAAGTACTAAACCACTGAGCTATAATCCCAACCTCTTAGCTACAGCTGGACTAGGTAACTGGTTAACTCAAAGGCACCTTTGAATATATTTCAGTATCCCATGTAGACAAATTAAGAGAGGCACCAATGCCTGCCATCACTGGCTAGCACAGTTCACATTGGGCTGCTACCAAGGCTTCTGCTTCTTTAAGTACATCTGTTTGTAGGTTTGAAACTCTTATCCTTGTCTTGGTCAAAGTAAGCACCAGGCTACTCCAGTCCAACAGAAAGATCATGCTCCCATTTCAGGTCTTCCACTGTCATTCTAAGATGGACCAATTTAGGGGTGAATTTAGGAAAGGATGAGGTTGGTAGCTTCTAGGACGGTGCAATTAATCCTATGCACCATAAATAATAATAAAGTCCTTGAGTAGCCAGCTTACTTTGAATATGAGTTGGAAGTTGTGGCTCAATTTCAGTATTTTGATGCTGGAGATTAAACCCATGGCCTAGCACATGTCACATTCCTGCCTTCCAGCCCCTCTTCATTTTTTTTTTTTTTTTTTTTTGTGTGTGTGTGTTTGGTACTGAGAATTGAATCCAAAGGCACTCTCCCACTGAGCTACATTCTCGGCCCTTTTATTTATTCTTGAGATAGGGTCTAGGTTGCTGAGGCTGACCTCCAACTTGGGATCCTCCTACTTCAGCCCCCCCAGTTGCTGGGATTACAGCAGGCAATAATTTTTTGAAGACTCTCAAAGTATTGGAAGCAAAAGCAAACATTGACAAAAGGGGTGCACTGCATTAGAAACAACCGAGGGAGGAGACAACCCACAGACTGGGAGAGAATGTATCTGCTACACACCCTAAAAAGGATCAATACCCAGGAGACATATGGAATTCAAAGAGTAAAATATCAATAATCAGGAATAAAATATTAATAAAAAACAATTTTTAAAAGAAATTATTTGAAGATATTTCTCCAAAGAAATACGAATGGTAGGGCTGGGGATATGGCTCAAGCGGTAGTGCGCTTGCCTGCCATAAGCACAGCGCTTGGTTCGATCCTCAGCACCACATACAAATAAAGATGATGTGTCCACAGAAAAAAATAATAAATATTAAAAATTCTATTAAAAAATACAAAGGCGTGAAAAAATGCTCGCTTATCAAAAAAATGTAAATCAAAACTACAGTGAGATACAATAGCTAAATTATGGAACCAACCCAGACGCCCTTCAGTAAATGGATAGGAAAGCTTTGGTATATATACACAGTGGAACATTGAATATTTGCAGGTAAATGGATGGAGTTGGAGAATATAATGCTAAGTAACGCAAGCCAATCCCAAAAAACCAAAGGCCGAATTTTTCTTTGATATGAGGATGCTGACGCATAATGATGATGGAGGGGAGCATGAGAGGTGAAGAAACTTTAGAGGCAAAGGGGAGGGAAGAGGAAATGATGGTGGAATGAGTTAGMCATCATTATTAAGTATGTTTCTGAAACACTATTATATAACCACTGAAGAATTTTCCTTTTGATACCAGTTAATGAACTCAAGGGCTCTACCACTTGGGAAGTGCTCTACCACCAGAGCTACATCTCCAGTCCCTGTCATTATGTTTTGAGACAGGGTCAACAAGTTRTGGAGGACCTAATTTGCTGAGGCTGGCCTCAAACTTACAATCCTCCTGTCTCAGCCTCCCAAATCACAGGGATTACAGGTGTGTCACTAGCCCTGGTGTAGCATTTTAAATTTTAAAAACCTTCCCAAAATATGTCCTTCTGTGAGGTTAGGAAACAAAGTAACAAAACTATGGTGATTTTTTTTAAAAAATAAATGTTTATTTCAAGTATGAAAAGTAACATTAAGACATTATGCAAAAATTATGGTCAGCTTTAACCAGTATAAAACAAGAAATGAAAAGTTTACAATTAGGTATAAAATACTTAGGAATATATTGACATTCACAGTGAGTGTTTTTGAAAAATAAGTTTTGCTAATGTAGCTTAGAAACAGAAATATGTACAGTCCAAGTTAAATAAACAAGCCCTCAGCTGAGGAACAGTCATCCCTCAGGATGGACAGGTAGCATTTGTACAAGCCTTCTTAAATAATCAATGTGGTTCAACAATGTCTAGGATCAAACACCTTATAGCTTCACTGACAAATATCATYCATTTCTTATGTCTCTTAACTCACAAAGTTGTCAAGCCATTTTAATTAAACAGTATAAATGAAACATATAACTGGTAACCAAACTCTCTGGATGAGAAATCTTTATTGTGGAAGCAATCCTGAGTTATTTCCAGCAAGATGCTGAACAGAAAGTAACAGAACTTCCTAGTGGCAATTATAAAACCACATCTTGGGATTACTTTACAGGGCTGCTACCAAGGCTTCTGCTTCTTTTCTCCAGGTACATCTGTTTGTAGGTCTGAAACACTGAATCTTTTATAGGGTTTGGTACTTTCTCAAATCCATCTGTACTGAAGCTTCTCTTGCAAAGTCTTAAATTAGTCTCATCTAAAGAAACAGAAATGTTACTTTATTCTTTGTTACTCTTCATACATGACCAATATACAATTAAAAAATTGAAGAAAATGATACATTTATCAATGGGACAAAAATGTTAGGAAAAGAGTTAATGAAGCGTATACACATGAGCTCTTGCCTTTCGTGCTTCCTCCTGTCAACCCCATTTTCATGGCCCAGGGCTGGGTTCCCTTACCTTTACCCTGGCTTAATAAAGTCATTCAGCTGGGCACTGAGGCACACAACAGCAGCTCAGGAGGCTGAGGCAGGAGGATCATGAGTTCAAAGCCAGCCACAGCAACAGTGAGATTCTACGCAATTCAGTGAGACCCCATCTCTAAATAAAATACAAAAAAAGGGCTGGTCGAGTGCCCCTGAGTTCAATCTCTAGTACCAAACAACAACAACAACAAAAAACCCCAAAAGATCCACATCCAATGTACATTTTGTATGGATGTGACTTTTATTGTGTGTGTGTATGCAGGAGTGCATTTAATCTCAGCCCTTTTTATTTTGAGACAGGGTCTTGCCAAGTCCTTGAGGGTGGCCGGGAACCTGGAATCTTCCTGCCTTGGTCTCCTGTGTTGCTGGGACAACAGGTGCTTGTATATGCTAGGCAAGTCCTTCACCACTGAGCTATGGCCTGAGCCAGTAATGGCTCATGTTTCTTTGTCAGCAAGGTGAGCTAGATTAAGTTTATTTTTTAAAAAAGTAAACTGACTTCTCTCTTTAGAACAATAAAATCTCTGGTCTGTTAGGGTCACTTCAGGTGCTRCTTCTTAATATGGCTTTTTTTTGGAATGATGGAAGTGGCTCCAGGGAGCCCAGACAAAGACGTGAACTTGGAAAAAGAGACCCACAGATGGTGCTTCTTGCCCAGGTAAATATTGTGCAGGTTGATGAGCGCGTGCACTGCCTCCTCCACGGAGCCCATCTGGATCAGCGCCAGCTTACGGTTCCTTTTGAAGAACTGGAACCTCTTGACCACGCCCCCAGTGCTGGAGAACAGGACCTTGAGGTTTTCCTCTGTTAGGGAAGGTGGGATGTTGGAGAGGAACAAGGTGGCGGAGGGCGGGAAGATGTTCTGGAGGGATCTGGAGTCGGGCTTCTTAAAGCGGTGCAGTGGAGAGTTGCTGAAGTCCTTGGTGAGGCCCTGGCCCTCCTGTACCTCGTGAGGCAGATCTAAGCTCTGATGCTTGGATAGCATGATGTTGATGGGCTTCCTATGCAGCTTTAACCCGTTCAGGTGCTTCATAGCCAGCAGGGCCTGGTTCCCATCTGTCATCTGCACAAGTGCATTCTCCTTGTTGAAGAACATCTTTATCCGCTGCACATCACCATAGAGGCCGAAAAGAATAAAGAGGTTTTGGAGTCTGACTCTTTTGGGATTGAGGTTGCTGGCCAGCAGAATGGAGTTCSCAGGCCCTGCCAGGCTTGGGGTGGGCAACAGGGCTGGGGCTATATGCACATTAGGATCAGAAAGAACCACGGCTTGAGGAATTGCAAAGGTTGGAGTCTGTTCCTGTGGAGGGTGGCTGTCCCCAGAGGGCAGGTCTGGGCGTGTGTAGTCATGGCTTTTGTCGTTGTTGTACTTGACCTTGAGGTTGGTGATTTTGGAGAAGTAGATGTGTAGTGTGCAGTAGCCATCAAGGATGTTCTGCCTGTGCAGTGACAGCTTGGCTTGCTGGGCGCTCACAGGATCTGCGTACTGCAGTAATGCCTGGGATTGGTTGTTGCTGATGAACTTGATGATTTTCAGGACTGTGCCGAACTTGGAGAAAGTCTGGTGCAATACATCCAGGGTCACAGGGAAGAAGATGTTCTCTATGATGATCCTGAGCACAGGGCTGTGCCCAGCTATTGTCATCCTTGCATCCACAGCTGTGGCTGAGGTCAGGTTCACCGAATGGACAGGGTTCCCAGACTGCAGGGCCACTTCAGCTTGTGCTCGGTTTGGGGAGAGTACCTCGCCCTTGGTGACTTC